CTTTTATTATACACTTTCCCAGACTTATTCTGCAACTTCAGGCTTAGATTATCCATCTGTGCTAGATCTAGCACCTTTGCAATTAAGTCCTCCTTCTTAGGTATTATGTCTAATTTCCAGTTCTTGGCCAGTAATAAACGGGCAGCGGTTATAATATATACTATTGCATATTTATCCTGCTGTCCATAACCCTTAGGCACCATATTTAATAAGTATATCTCCGGTTCCAGTGCTAGGTTTTTACACATAATTTCTTGGCTCAGTCTTCTCGCCATTTTCCAGTATTCCTGAACTCTGCTGCATGTCCACCACATGTGAAAAAAAGTCCCCTTATTGGCCTTACACTTCCAACATTGACTGGAGTATCCAGAGTAACATTTGGCTATTTTTTCCGGGGACCAATGCCGTCTGTGAAACATTTTATAAACGTTCTCTTTGTAGGCTATGGCTCTCATATACTTGAGCGAGTCCCATGTTTTAGTCCACCTATCTAATTCTATCTGTTTCCTTATATCACTGGCACTGAGGGTGGGTTCCATGCTGGGAGGAGGAGGAGGAGAAGAAGAAGAAGAAGAAGAAATTGGATTTGTACCCCGCCCTTCACTTGGCGTCTCAGAGCGGCTTACAATCTCCTTTCCCTTCCCCTCCCCACAACAGACACCCTGTGAGGTAGGCAGGGCTGAGAGAGCTCTGACAGAAACTGCTTTTTCAAGGACAGCTCTGACAGAACTGTGGCTTGCCCAAGTTCATCCAGCAGCTGCAAGTGGAGGAGTGGGGAATCAAATTCAGTTCTTCCAGATTAGAGTCTGCGCTCCTAACATCCAATAGACAGTGCAATCGGATTTGACTTCAAGAAATCTGGGTGCAAACAGAGGTGAAGCAAAGCATAACATGACTCACTAAAAGATTGCAAAAATTACATAGCGGGGACCAACTTACAGCAGTAGGTAGTACGAATTAAACACAGTGGTATTGTCTACATTCTCTAACCCTTTACCCCAAGATCCTTTCTTGGCCTCCGGGATAGACGGCTTGTGGCAAGCGTACGGCTTTTGATTTGGATGAGGCTGTGAGCATGTTACCTTTTCTGCAGGTACCTCAGCTGTGTTATCCGATGTGCTGCTGCCATTTCTAGGAATGCACAAGCCCGATTCATACCAGGACCGCACCACACTGGGAGAGAGTGCTCATGCTTTCACCCGCCCCCTGTCTTTTTCCTGACCCGAAACAGATCCAGTGGAACACAGTTTGCCCCATTGAGAAAACCTTTCGGTACCCCATGAGCAATGCTGCCTCTAAGCTATGGAGTCTTGTGAGCAAAAAACTACTTTGTGAGCTACTGGCCTTAAGGCTGTGAGTGAACAATCTGGCTGCTGCATAAATTAGTTTGCTCTGGAGCCATCCTCCCTGAGCGAAGACAAAAATGTGCGAGCCAGAGGCTAAAAAACTGTGAGCTGGCTCACGCTAACTCAGCTTAGAGGGAGCAATGCCCATGAGTGCATGTGGAGCGGCCACTGAAGCAAAACATAACATCCTGGTGTCAGTCTGGAAGAAAGCAGGGACAAAGAAATCTGAAGCTGCTTCTCCTTGCACGTTGCAGTCCCGATGGATCAGGCCTGCACGTATCTGTGAAGTGAATTCCAAGCAGGGAACTCCCAAGGGTATGTGAATTGTGCAAAGCCTGGGGAAAACATTGCATGTAGTTAGGGGAGGGGCCGTGGCTCAGTGGTAGAGCCTCCGCGAGAAGAGATTGGATTTATACCCCGCCCTTCACTACCCAAAGGAGTCTCAGAGGGGCTTACAAACTCCTTCCCCTTCCCCTCCCCACAACAGACACCCTGTGAGGTGAGTGGGGCTGAGAGAGCTCTGACAGAAACTGCTCTTTTTCAAGGACAGCTCTGAAAGAACTATGGCTTGCCCAAGGTCATCCAGCCAGGTGCAAGTGGAGGAGGAGTGGGGAATCAAACCCGGTCCTCCTAGGTTAAAGTCCACGCACTTCACCACTACACCAAACTGGCGTGCAAAAGGTCCCAGGTTCAATTCCCAGCATCTTCCATTAAGAGGACCAAGTAGGAGGTGATGTGAAAGACCTCCGCCTGTGACTCCGGACAGCAGCTGCCAGTCTGAGTAGACAACACTGACCTTGGGGAGAAGGATCCTAATCTGATAGTGTTCTGTGTGGTCATTTAAGAGAGCGTTTTTCACTCAGCTGCCTCAGTCCTTGCCATCCCATGCAAGATGTTTTAGGGTTCCTCATTGTGCTGGGGCAGAGGTGGCCCAACTCTGGCTCGGGAGCCGCATGCGGCTCTTTCACACCTATCGTGCGGCTCCCGGCAGGGCGGCTGGGGGAGCGAAATATCATTAGCAAACAAATTATCATTGGACAAATAAACATCGTTATCAATATCTGCTTTGACCGCGTTTGTTATTCTTTTTGGCCGTCTCGATTAATGTTCGTAAAAAGCGAATTTGCATGTTTCCCAGTAAAAGCATGTAATATTTGTTCCTGTCTTGCGGTTCTCAACTATCTGACGTTTATTCTATGTGGCTCTTACATTGACCAAGTTTGGCCACCCCTGTGCTAGGGCGTTTGCTCTCACTCATCTTAACGCTCACCCCTCGGAAGTCCCGCGTGGGAGGTTTTGTAATGTTGCATATTCAGATCATCTTGTCCTTGTGGCCTGGGTAAAACTGAGACTTCCATAAAATTCTGGAATGTTCTTTTTATACCGTTATCACATGTGTCGTTCAGTAATTCTCATAGGGGATGTTCTTCCCTATCTGATGCCGGATGGTGATCCGAATGTAATATTATTGGTTGATAAATTCCTGTCTATCATATTTTCCTTCAGAAACTAATTGAGTACTCTTTTAGCAGTTGCTCAAGATCTATTGATCAGAGGTCTGAAAAGGGAAGAGAAGGGAAGGGAAGGAACATTCAGACCTACAGCACCATGCTTCCTCCCCACATCCACGTGGGCGCATTGCCCCTGGAATATCGTCATCCAAGAACAGCTTTCCCTTTTGATTCAGACTACACAAATACTGCAAGAAGTGCATGCAATTAACAACAATTGTAAGAATCAGTTGACTCTTGTTGTTGAACTTCAAGCTGTTTTAATCTTTCTGTTTTTCAACGGACGAACTTCCCTGGAGTTTTACCGCTCGTTTCAGCACATTCTTTCTCAACGTAACGGTTCAATTTTGCATCCTTACAATATCTGATATTCGGACTCTCTCCAATTCCACGTAACTTCAAGAGCTCTTGACAAAGTACTTTTACAAATGGACAGCAAGTTGTAAAAGTACTTTGTCAAGAGCTCTTGAAGTTACGTGGAATTGGAGAGAGTCCGATGTCAGATATTGTAAGGATGCAAAATTGAACCGTTACGTTGAGAAAGAATGTGTCGAAACGAGCGGTAAAACTCCGGGGAAGTTCGTCTGTTGAAAAACAGAAAGATTAAAACAGCTTGAAGTTCAACAACTAGAGTCAACTGATTCTTACAATTGTTGTTAATTGCATGTACTTCTTGCAGTATTTGTGTAGTCTGTATCTTAGTTATACTGCTGCCCCCCCCCACCTTCTTTGTTCCCTTTTGATTCAGCTGACTCCATAAACACGATGCTGAGGCTTACGTTACGGAAGGACTAAAATTCCCAAAGTGCAGACAGGGTTGGCTATGAAACGCTGAGAACCTATTCCTTCCTTTCCCGAGAAGACAGATCAAGATGGGTGGCTGTGTTCGTCTGTCTGTAGCACTAGAAAAGAGCAAGAGTCCAGGAACACCTGAAAGACTAACCAAATCTGTGGCAGGGGAGGAGCTTTTCATCAGTCACTGTTCACTAACAAAAGTTGCGGCAGGGTAGGATGTATGTTGCCACCCTGCTTATTTAATTTATATGCAGAGTACGTCATGTGAAAAGCTGGCCTGGATGAATCACAAGCCGGAATTAAGATTGCTGGGAAAAACATCAACAACCTCAGATATGCGGACGATACCACTTTAATGGCAGAAAGTGAAGAGGACTTCAAGAGTCTCTTGCTGAGGGTCAAAGAGGAGAGTGCACATATTGGCTTGAAACTCAACAGCAAAAAAACTAAGATCATGGCATCCGGCCCCATCACTCCTTGGCAAATCAAAGGGGAAGTCGTAGAAGCAATTACAGAATTCACGTTCCTGGGATCCAAGATCACTGCTGACGGTGACTGCAGCCATGAAATTAAAGGACGCCTGCTCCTTAGGAGGAAAGCGATGGCGAACCTAACAGCATGATAAAAAGTAGAGACATCACCCTGCCAACAAAAGTCCGCATGGTCAAAGCAATGGTATTCCCAGTAGTCATGTATGGCTGCGAGAGTTGGACCATAAGGAAGATTGAGCGCCGAAGAATAGATGTTTTCGAATTATGGTGCTGGAGAAGACTCTTGAGAGTCCCTTGGACTGCAAGGAGATCAAACCAGTCAATTCTAAAGGAAATCAACCCTGACTGTTCCCTGGAAGGCCAGATCCTGATGCTGAAGCTGAAATACTTTGGCCACCAAATGAGAAGGGAGCACTCACTGGAGAAGACCCTGATGCTGGGAATGATTGAAGGTAAAAGAAGACGGGGACGGCAAAGGATGAGATGGTTAGACAGTGTTATCTCAATGCAAAAACATGAAATTGAACAAACTCCGGAGGACAACAGAAGACAGGAGGGCCTGGCGTGATGTGGTCCATGGGATTGCGAAGAGTCGAACTCAACTGTGTGACTGAACAACAACAGGAACTTTAGAGAGTTACTGCTCACTTCATGAAGTATCTGAAGAAGTGAGCAGTGACTCACGAAAGCTCCTCCCTTGCCACAAATTTGGTTAGTCTTTAAGATGCTACTGGACCCTTGCTCTATTCTACTGCTTCCTTTCCCAAGTCACAGTCACCCACATTTGTGTCCCTAGATTTTTGTGTGTGGGGGGGAGTGTGGTTGTTGTGGTAATGTATTCCGGTGATTTCTTTCAGGGTACGCTCAGTACATTCGAGAAGCGACTCCCGATTTTGCTATTCATCAGGGATCGCAGATTGGAAGGCTGTGTGAAATACAAGGTACGGACAAAGTCAAACAGGAGTCCTGGGGCAAATTAATGACCTAACAACATTTCCCCCTAGCATAAGGATTGACTTCACAGGCAGATTTCTACCTGCCGTGTAGCTTTTCTTGTTTCCTTGTTTCTCAAAGGGAAAAAGGCCCAATTTTAATGGGATTTTCAGTTCTGAGCAAATGCAAGTGACAGTTCGTAAACCCTAAACCAGTGGTGCCAGAGGTGGCACAGAGCCCTCTCTGTGGGCACGCGTGCCATCGCCCAAGCTAGGCCCAGACCATCATTAAAGTGTCGAATTCTCTGCCAAATAATTTAAAGTAAATGAAAGCATTTGGGATTGCTTTCCTTACTTTGTTTGGATCATCTTAAGTTAATGTATGAGTTGTTTTTTCTAAAGTAAAACCTCAGTATTCAGGTTAAATTGCCGTGTTGACACTTTGCAATAAATAAGTGAGTTTTGGGTCACAGTTTGGGCATTCGGTCTCTAAAAGGTTCGCCATCACTGCCCTAAACGAATATTCCCTCTCAGCTCCATGGAGAGGCCACAGTGAACTATCATTTCTTCTCTGTTAAATGCTTGGCCTTTTCCCCTCCATGATTCAAAATCTGCATTGCTGTGTCAGAAAGGTCTTCTATGCCTGTGTCTGTAATTAATTCACTACACACAACTGGACTTTCCGTGGCACCAGATAAACGCTGCTGTTATTAACCACTATCCTGTGGAAAACATGGAGCCAAAATATGAACATGGAATTTTATTACAATCTTCCATGTTTTCCTGTGGAACGAGGTTTATTGTGGGATGAGGAATTGCTGTTTATGACTCTGGTTGCAAATACAGTAAAGAATATATATTCTTTACTGTATTTGCAACCAGAGTCATAAACAGCAATTCCTCATCCCACAATAAACCTCGTTCCACAGGAAAACATGGAAGAATTTAAAGGTTGCTACTGCAAAAGTTGTCATGTGATTTGACAACAGCTGCTGGAAGTTTTGCCGCATGCAGGGTAGTTCGTTTCCCTTCGTCTCTAAGTAGCCAGGATGATTTTATTTCTGGAGAGAGGAAGCTCTTGTTAAATAAAGGGGAGATCAGTTCATCTCCTAGAGCTGAGAATTTGGGACAATCCCGCAAAATACGCTCCACAGAGTCAATTTCACTGCTGCTACAGTTACAGAGTCGATCTGAGTATGAAATCCCATTAAGTCTTCCTGACATCAGAGCTGAAGGTAGGGCATTCAGGCGCACTCGCAGGAACGCTCTTCTATACTTTGGAAGAATTATCTCAGATAAGTAGTTTGGCATTGTTGTTGGAGGATGAACAAATCCTAGCTGCAGACTTGTGAATATTCAAGATAAAGGCAACGCACTAGCATGAATGCCCTTATATACTTTGGAAGAATTATCTCAAATAAGTAGTTTGGCATTGTTGCTGGAGGTTAAACAAGTCCTAGCTGCAGCCTCTTGAATTTTCAAGATAGACAAATGAGTAAACTTCAGAAATTCGGCCATTTTACGACAGATTTTTAAATTTTTGTTTGTTTACAATTTGGCCTGATTGTGCGGCTCTTTGGATACATTTTCTGTGCCTTCTTTCAGACTGATGGAAGAAGTTGTTTTGTTGAGGGTTTTTTGTGTGTGAATGGAATTTCCAGGTATTGCATGACAGAAGATTGACGAGCCAGTATCCCCTATCTGTTTACCTGCACCTGTGCCTTCCATTTTATTTATTTATTTATTTATTTATCTTTGGATTTATATTTGGATTTATATCCCGCCCTACCCCAAAAGCTCAGGGTGGCTAAAAAGAGGCACAAAGTGTCAAGATTAAAACAATTAAAAACAACATAGTAATAAAACAATAAAATACAATAACAAAATATCCGTGCTCCATTTATCACAAGATGGGGTAGATCTTACATTTGATAAAGGCAGATCGATGCAACAGAAGTAGTGATACATCCAGGTGTGGGAGAAAGTCTGGGATCCTGGTGGATTCTGAGCATTACCTGGAAGAAGTTGTTTTGTTGAAGAAACTGGGAAGATTCCCCCTCTTTGTGACGGCCTGTTGATTCGTCAGTGACCAACTCTGTTTGCTTCCTGGAATGACATACTTGTGCATGATTCATTTATTTTCAGTTGCATAACATACCTCATAGGGGAGAGGAGAATGGGTAACAATGGTTACCACTCTCCAGGTGAGGGCTACAGATAACTCAAACATACAAATGCTCTTCAGGTAGCAGAGATCAGTCCCTCTGGAGAAAACAGTGGACTCTGTCATTAAACCCTGCTGAGGTCGCCACAGGAAACTGACACTCTTTGCCCAAAGCCAGAGCACTCTCCCAGAGCCTCTTTCTAGATCCCGTTGTATTTAATTCCGCAACGGGCATTATTTCTAGTTATTTCATAAATGCCATTTGGGAAGTTTTGCACAAAAAGGAACATATTAGATCTGGAAATTTACAGGAGCCCAGAATGATCACTTTTAATTGCCTGTATATATTACGAAGGCACTAACCTCGTTTTCTTCTCAATACAGTTCTTTTTATGGTGTAGGTTGTATTTCAGGAAATGCTTGTTTCTTCTGGATGAGTTATAACGGTGGAGGTACCACGTAACCACTGTCTTCCGTTTTGAAGCCTTGCAGCTGCTTGTATTCGAAATATTTACTTATTTATTGATTTATTTGATTTGCATTCCGCCCTCCCCACAGACGGGCTCAGGGCGGTTCACAACAATCTCAGTACAATGTCAGTAAAACAAGAATTAAACGACAGTTAAAACGGTAAACCATAAATTACCGTGTAAACAATCTAGATCTGATGTCAGTTCAGCAACATTGATGTTAAAATCCAGGCCACCGATGTCGATTCAGCAGTACTGATGTTAAGATCCAGGACACTGAAGGGGAGATAGCCAGAAGGGAAAAGGGACGTCCGCTGCCTCAACCAAAAGTCCGGTGGAAGAGCTCTGTCTTGCAGGCTCTGTGGAACTGTAATAGATCCCACAGGGCCCTGATCTCATATGAGAGCTCATTCCACCAGGCGGGGGCCAGGGCCGAAAAAGTCCTGGCCCCGGTCGAGGCTAGTCGGACGCCTCTGGGGCTGGGGACTGTTGGAAGATGTTGATTCATAGACCTCAGTATCCTCCAGGGCTCATACGGGGAGAGGCGGTCTTGGAGGTATGCTGGACCCTGGCCATATAGGGCTTTAAAGGTAAGTACCAGCACCTTGAAACAGTGAAATAAATATTTCTTGACTTAATTTATACTTGGCCTTTCCCCCCAGTAAAGGTAAAGGTTCCCCTTGCTCGAAAGCCAGTCGAATCCGACTCTAGGGTTGCGGTGCTCATCTCCGTTTCCAAGCCGAAGAGCCAGCGCTGTCCGAAGACATTTCCGTGGTCATGTGGCCAGCATGACTAAACACCAAGGCGCACGGAACGCTGTTACCTTCCCACCGAAGTGGTACCTCTTTATGTACTTGCAATTTCTTGCTTTGGAACTGCTAAGTTGGCAGGAGCTGGAACTAGAGTCGGGAGCTCAGTCCGTCATGCGGCACACTTGGGTCTTGAACCGCTGAACTACCGACCTTCCACAGCCTGCAGTTCAGTGTCTTAACCACTTGAGTCACCGCTGTAACCAGTAGGGAACCCAAAATGGTTCTCCTCTCTTCCATCTTATCCTCACAACCACCACATGAGGCGGGTTAGGCTGAGAGCGTGTGACTGGCCCAAGGTCCCACAGCGCGCTTCCGTGGCACAAGTGGGGATTCAAACCTGGGTTTCTCAGAGCCTCATCTGACACTCAGCTGCCACATTAGAGTAGGGCTGCCAGGTCTTAACCTGGCTGCCAGCAGGGGGTGGTGGTCCCGCTTCATGCCCTGGAGTTTTCGGCTGCGATTATGTCACCCGGAAGTGGCGTCATCGCGAAGGGCACGTTGCGCGGGGGGACGGACGCTCTAGCGCAGAGGTGGCCAGACTTGTTTAACGCAAGAGCCACATAGAATAAACATCAGATGTTTGAGAGCCGCAAGACAGGAACAAATACGACACGCACGTTTTCATTTGAAACTATGCAAATTTGCTTTTTATTAACATTAAACGAGACTGCCAAAAATAAAAACAGAAGGTGTACAAACATATAACTTCAAATGTGTCCTCCAAGCCTTCTCTACCTGCCTCCCCACTGGCTGACTTGACAAAGGCAGAGTTCTTCCTCGCCTCGATTGTCTCTTCACAACAACCCTGGGAAGTAGGCTGGGCCGCAAGAGAGTAAAAAGTCGTCCAGCGAATATTCACAGCAGGGTGGGGAATCAAACCCATCTCTCCCCAGTCCTCGTCTGACATGCTAGCAGCTACGCTCATACTGATTTCAATAATGCAGCGGAGGAGGGAGTGACAGCCTGGTGGGAGGGGCGTGTGCACCTGTAGAGGAAAAGCCAAATGGGCAGTTCACCTGAACCTTTGGAACAACCTGCAGTGCGGGGGTTCCCCACCCTTTTTGAGCCTGTGCACACCTTTGGAATTCTGACGTAGCATTGTGGGCCGCAGTGGCTCAGAGGTTAAGATGCTGAGCTGCTGACCGGAAGGTCTGTAGTTCAACAGTTCAAGACCCAAGTGCCCCGTGACGGAGTGAGCTCCCGTCTCTGGTCCCAGCTCCTGCCAACTGGGCAGTTCAAAAGCAAGAAATTGCAGGTAGATAAATAGGGACCACTTTGGTGGGAAGGTGGCATCTAGTCATGCCGGCCACATGACCACAGAAACGTCCATTCTCGGGCTTGGGCTCTGGATTCAGATTGTCCTGGCCGTCCATCGGCTCTCAGCACCCTGTGGCCGAGAGGCTGGGTGGTGCTTCTGTGGGCGCAACGAAGGGCGGGACGAAGGCAATGCAGCCAGTGGCCAGGACCCCTTTCTGACTGGCAGTTGAGGGACCCAAAGGCTGTGGGGGCGTGTGGAACATTGAGGCAAGAGGGACATGAAAACTCTTTTATATATAAGGAGAGATTGGTATTTCCGCAGCGTTCTCAAACTTAGCAATTGCACTTTATAATCCACCCAAGTTAATAGCCTGCATTTCCTGAGCCATGCACAATTCCCATCAACATGAAAGCAGGTCACTTGGCTAAATCTCTCTGCAACACTTTGCAAGCGCTAACCAACTTTCTGTGGGTTCAAACCTGGGTGTTCCTCTGGGCTGAATCAGAAGGGGAAAGGAATCAAAAGTCAAAGATCTGTGGGGTGCGGGCGATAAGTATCTGCTTTCTGCTGTCAAGGGGGTTATAACGAACAAGCCTTGTGAACAATATTATGTCTCTTCCCATAATTAATAGTGAATCTCTCCTCCCTCTCCCCTGTCTTTTTCAGACCCTAATGTGGACGTCATCTACGTTTGCCCCCTTCAACTGAGCGAGGAATTACTGCAGTATTACCATAAACTACTAGGCCTGCAGGCAGCTGTTAGATCTGGAGACCCCAAGGACATTGCTGACCTGCAGGACAGGTTCAAAATCCTCACCCCCGAAGCCATAAACAGCTTCCCTGTGAGTTTCTGTCTTCTAATTACTACAGCTGGGGGGGATGCCGTAAAATTAAATTGGAAATTTTATAACTTGCCACGCTCTGGTACCCATCAGTGAAATATTATTGCCAGTGTTAAGAGCTTCACCGATTAAGTGACTAGTTAAGGGTGGGCGCTGGAAATGAATATCCCGGTTTAGCTCGGGAGGCCGAAAGCCAAGCTGAGCTCAGTCCCTTCTTCCCGCCCAGGACACGGCCTCGTCCGGAACTCTGAACTTGGGAGGTTTTCTGTGTGGTGGAAAGCAGAACGCAAAAAAAAAAGGAAACGAAAAGTTCAAACTTTCTCTCCCTGCGGCTGCGCAGATATTTTTGTTCTCTCCGTCGCGCCCTCCTTCCTTCCTCTTTAGTTTTATTGTGGCAAAATCCAATTTAAGACTTTTTTTCGCCTCTTACTTTCGAAGGCTTGGATCGTTTAATGGCTTTAATTGAGGGGCGTTCCGTTATGTTCGTTGTTCTGAACCCATCTAGCCGGTTTTAAATTCGCTCGATCGTATTCTGAAAAGCGCCCCCCGCACAAAAACACACTGTAATCTTAGCCCTTTTTTTGGCCGTGCTTTTTATATTGCTGCAATGCAGTAAAGCTGATTTACGGCCGGGAGTGTGGAGGCTCCGCTTGCATTTCTCGCAGGCGCTCAATTGACGTTGAGCCTGTCTCAGAGTTGGGGCTCCTTCTTGGCTCGATGGTAAGCAATGCTCATCGTCCCTGCCCAGGCCTTCTTGGAACCTAAAACCCCTTTCGCCACAAGATCATTGCCGGGTAATTATTTGTACTATAAAACTATGATGTCTCACCATATGACAGCTCTGTGTGTACTGTAATTCCAACATGCCCATTTGTGAGCTCTTAAATTTTGCCCTGTTATAAACCCACAGTCTTTCCGTTCGGCCGATCTGCGCTTTTCAGTCAGACCTGGAGACTGGTTTGGTAAAGCCCTGCCATTTCCTGGTTCCAGTTTTAAAAGGACCTTCACCTTGGTTCCTTGTTACTGTTGGCGCCTTGGCACCTTGTTACCATGCTCTTAAATTTTTGTTGTTGTTCAGTCGCACAGTCGAGTCCGACTCTTCGCAACCCTATGGACCAGATCACGCCAGGCCTTCCGGTCTTCCGCCGTCCTTTGAAGTTTGCTCAATTTCATGTTCGTTGCATCTATGACACTGTCTGACCATCTCATCCTTTGCCGTCCCCGTCTTCTTTGACCTTCAATCTTTCCCAGCATCAGGGTCTTCTCCTCCAGTGAGTGCTCCCTTCTCATTGGGTGGCCAAAGTATCTTAAATTTTACCCTGTTATAAACCACGGTCTTTCCATTCGGACAATCTGTGCCTTTTGGTCAGACCGTTCGGTACAATATGGTACAAGTGGCGTCTGCCGCAGTCCTGCAAAGGATTTCTGTCCACATTGACCATAAGGGCGTGAGGAACATCACTGCCTAGAGTTTCCAGTTCTAGGTTGGGAAATTGCTGGAGATTTTGGGGGTGGAGCCTGAGGAGGGCAGGGTTTGGGAAGGGGAGGGACCTCAGCAGGATATAATGCCATAGAGCAGGGGTGTCAAACATGCGGCCTGGGGGCCAGATCAGGCCCCCGAAGGGCGTCTCTCAGGCCCGCAGTGGAACTGGCTGTCTCCTGCTGCTTCTTCCAGTTCTGCTGCTGCCGCGTCATCGTAGGTTTGCAGCTTACAGATACACGCCTGAACAGCATACTCAAGATTGCAACAGCACAGACATTTTGATGCAATAATTCAGAGCAAAGAGGTGTCAATTATCAGACACCGTTAAATAAACAAAATATTGCAGGAGTGCCAATATTTTAAGCATGTTTATATTTTAAGTAAAAAAACCCCTTTGTGTCCTTTATAAAGTTTGTATCTCCGCTTCCTGGCATTCCATTTTATGACCCACCTGGCCCGGCCCAACAAGGTCTCATTTATGTCAGATCCAGCCCTCATAGCAAATGAGTTCAACACCCCTGGCATAGAGTCCACTCTCCCAAGCAGCCGTTTTCTCCAGGAGAACAGATCTTATTTATTTATTTATTTATTTATTTATTTATTCGATTTATACCCCGCCCACCCTGCAAGGCAGGCTCAGGGCGGCTTACATAAAATTGCATGTATAAATACAGTTAAAATCATATGCAAAACAACCATAAATCATCTATAAAACAGCCACAAACATTTTCCTAAAGTGCCGAAACAATACTCAAGTCAAGGGCAGGAGCAAAAATTCCTAGTTCAAGCCACACCACCACCGAGGTGATTGTCCTGATAATATACACATATCGGCTTGGATAGATGGACTAATTTGTGCGGCGCACCAGTCTGAAGGTGGTAGAACCAGGGCACAGGGTCTCTCCTCGGTATTGAAGGCGGCTCCTAATCGAAAGCCTGGGTTTGTTCTTCTGGAGCTCGATTGTAATAGCAGGAGACCTCCAGGTGCTACATGGAGTTTGGCAGCCCTGCCACCGCCCTCAAGTGAGCCTTCTCGCCATCCTAAAAGTAGGCAAATTCTATTTTTTGGAGGATCAGATCCCAATATTGCATAGCTCACATGCTCAGGATCTCAATTCTTTGTCACAGAGACCTAGACGGTTGCACCGAAGTTAAATCTGCACCGCTCTTTAGGTGTACGTGAGGGTGTGGATCACAGAAGTGAGCAACTTCTCCAGGCCCAAGGACACGAAGGGAAATATTGCAGTAGCCGCTAAACCACTGCAAGCAGAGGTCGATTCGGGGGGGATTGCAGTTCCCCCGAGTGAGGTGCAGGGAGCGGTGCACACGACTTAGCCCCGCCTTCTTCTTCCGGCCGCCCCCTGCTTCCAGCCTCATTCTGTTGCAGAAGGAGGAAGAAGCAGGAGGGTAAGTTGGCGTCCTCCCCCTCTGCCAGGCCGAGGCCACTCCACGTGGCCTCCGCAAGGACTTCCAGCCCCATCTGGGAGCTTCCCCGAGGTAGCTGTGTTAGTCTGTTGCTGCAAAATAGTCCAAGAGTTCAAATAGCACCTTTAAGACTAACCTTTAAGACTAAGACTAACTGAGTGGTGGGTGTGGCCTTATGACACACTTCTGGTGATGTCAGGGGGTGTGGCATATGCTAATGAGTTATGCTAATGAGTTCCCCTAGCTCTTTTTCTATGAAACAACCCCTGACTGCAAGTATCTGGGCGGAGGCCTCCACATTAAGAGGCTGCAAAGGCGGCATGAACCTGGGCTTCAGCCTCAGAGACCAGGGCGCCCAAAGGAGCTTCGGCCATTTTGGCCTCGAACAGAGCCTCCCCCGTGCCAAGCAGCAAACTGCTTTTGAAGCGAAGAGGACTTTCAAAAGTAGATTGTGATGAGGACCTGGGGGAGGTGGTGTAAAACAAAATCCCAGCAGGTTTGTCAGAGTCCGTGAGCAAGCCTCAGGTAGCTCTTGAGATCCCGGTCGGAACAGTGAGCCTTCGCCATGCCTGTCCTCTTCAGGTGTATCTCTCTGTCGTTCACATGGTGGTCAACGCTGCCTCTGGGTTCCTGACATCTCCCAGATATGCTAAGGGACCTTGCGCAGGAGATGTTTGTAGGGGCTTTCATCTGGTTAAGTAAAATTCCCATATGTGGCCTAGAAATGTAAGAAAACCCCAGATCCCTCCAGGTCTTCACTGGCCATTCTCTCTTTCCATCCATTTCTATTTATGTGGGCAGCCATGTTGATATTGGGATAGAGCAGGTAGAGAAAGAGGTACTTTTCTCCCTTTCTCACAATACAAGAACTCGTGGGCACTCCATGAAATTGCTGAGCGGTCGGGTTAGAACGGATAAAAGGAAGTACTTCTTCACCCAAAGAGTGATGAACACATGGAATTCACTGCCACAGGAAGTGGTGGCGGCTACAAGCATGGACAGCTTCAAAAGGGAATTAGATAAGCATATGGAGCAGAGGTCCATCAGTGGCTATTAGCCACAAGGTATAGATAGGGACTCTGGGGCAAGGGATGCTCTGTCTTCTTGGTGCTGGGGGGGGGGTCAACAGTGGGAGGGCTTCTAATGTCCTGGCCCCACTGGTGGACCTCCTGATGGCACCTGGTATTTCTGGCCACTGTGTGACACAGAGTGTTGGACTGGATGGGCCTTTGGCCTGATCCAACATTGGCATCTCTTATGTTCTTATGTTCTAACAGAAGCATCCATTTCTATGTACCTATCTGCTTCCTGTCCCAACCCTATTTTGTAATCTACTTTATTGCAGACATTGAATAGAAGCAAACCTAGGTTTGCTGCCAAGTTTGAGGCAAACTTAGGTTTGCCACTGAGCCATTGCCTGCCTCGGTGTAGCGACCCTGGACTTCCTTGGCAGTCCCCCATACAAATACTAACCACTGCCGACCCCGCTTAGCTTCCAAGAGCTGACAAAATCCGGCCAGGTCAGGTTGTGTTTGGCCTTTCAAGCATTCCCCTGACACTGTAATGTGTGAAGCAGCCCCGACTGAGGTCTCCAAAGCTCTGGGATCGTCTTGCACTTGTCTTAGGCGATCAACATCGTAAAGTCTTGTGTCTAATGCAAACATGTGTCCTGGGGGGTGACATATGATTTGAAAAGGCTGTTTTGTAAATCAAAGTGTTGTGTTTGGAAAGAACCCATTTATGACGCTGCTGCCCATATGGTGAAAAGCAGCCCCCTTGCCCCGCTACGGGGAGGAGGGCTTGTCCCCCCCCCCCACTTCCATTTTTTGTATTGATTTTCTTTTCGCCTGACACAGCCGAGTCAAACCGCGCCAGACGTGTTGAGATGAATCACCGCGACCCAAAGGCCGCGAGCCTCTCTTCCGAGTGACAGAAGGAGAATTCCGCGTGGATCAAATAAATACAGATGTGTAGTAATTAGTTCTATTCCCAGCGAGCCCATTTCCGACGCACTAAAGATGTGAGCGATTATGGAGCCTCACCCCAACAGCTTTTATCAATTTAAACTGCTACGCTACAGGATAGGTCATAACCCAGCCTGCGATTAATAATGTATTTATTACGCGCAACATTATAAATTAGCTTTGTGGAACAGAGAGAGAGAGAGAGAAAGGGCAACTCTTAACTAGACTAATGTGCTTTCTCCCCAGAGCCGACCTATGGCTCTGGCCACCTTCCTGAAGTACAGCCCCAAGACTCTCCAAAGGATCCGCAACCTCATCCGGGGCAAAGAGGCCTACATCGTGGGCGGGCTCCTGCGTCAAGATGACCTAGAAGTGGCCGATGCGTTGGACCTGCCCATTTTGGGCCCTGACCCGGAAGTCGCTCTCCTCTACAGCTCCAAGTCGGGGAGCAAAAGGGTCTTTGCCTCCGCCGGTGTGCCGATGCCTCCCGGTCAACATGACATCTACAACAGGCAACAAGTAAGGAGGGGGGGTGACAGAACCGCCAGGTTTGCCAGCCGGGGGGGAGGCCCAGGAGAGAGACCATCCAGGCGTTTGATTTTTCTCATTCATCTTTGATGGCTGGAGCCCGTTTTCCTTGCTGGGGGTGAGCCCCAGAACCTATGAAGTACGTACTAAAGCTTCGGCTGGTATGCTGCTTGGCTAAATGGGGGCTGAACTCCGAAAAGTCTCTGTACCCCACTGGCTTTCTTGTGGTGCACGGAGCAAGACTAGACTGGTTTGAGGTTGGCAACTAGACAGTGTTCCCCCTGAGCTGGGTTTGTGTGAGCTAGCTCACAGTTTTCTAGCCTCCGGTGCACACATTTTTGTCTTCGCTCAGGAGGGATGGCTCCGGAGCAGACTAATCTATGCAGCAGCCAAACCGCTCGCTCACAGCTTTAAGGCCAGCAGCTCACCAAGTAGAATTTTTGCTCACCAGACTCCACAGCTTAGAGGGAGCATTGCAACTAGACACCTGCCTTTACCGGGAGGTAAGCGCCATTGAAGTGAACGGGGCTTAGGATTGGCTAGGCAGGAGCTAGTTGACAGGGTTTGCTTCAACAGCTGTTTGCACAATAACTCTGATTGTGGGGCTGGCGTGGAAGGAGGAGAAGAGATTGGACCTATACCACACCCAACAGTCCGAGTCTCATCTATACCTTGTGGCCAATAGCCACTGATGGACCTCGGCTCCATATGCTTATCTAATTCCCTCTTGAAGCTGTCTCGGCGCTCCTAACCACTACACCAAACCAGTTCACGTCTAGGAACTGCTTTTTGGGAAGTCCCTCAAAATGCAATAGTATTTATTTATTTATTTAATTTATATCCCGCCCTCCCCGCCAGGGCAGGCTCAAGAGTACGGAGGCGGCCCCCTACAGCAAAGCGGTTTTGTGAAGGGCTCGCCTTGAGCCAGTTGGGCATGACGTCAGCGTTGACAGTGGGGGAAGAGAGGCTGTGCTGGTGTGGCAGGAACCGCCCAAATCGAACCCGGAGCGGCTTTACCCAAACGGCTTCTGTTGGGCCGCTAGTCCAATGTTCCCTCTAAGCCGTGGAGTCTTGTGAGCAAAAATTCTACTCTGTGAGCCACTGGCATTAAAGTTGTGAGCGAGTGATTTGGCTACTGCATAAATTAGTTTGCTCTGGAGCCCCATCCTTCCTGTGCTAAGACAAAAATGTGTGAGCTGGAGGCTAAAAAATTGTGAGCTAGCTCATACTAACTCAGCTTAGAGGGAACACTGGCCGCTACCCCCATAGAGTAGCATTTAGAGCGGTTTCTCCCTGGCCCCTCCCCATTTCAGAAATGGGCCTCAGTGGGACTGGAATTCTCTCTGAGTGGAGGCTGAGTGTTATACGTTCCTTTTCACTGAGGCAGAACAAGTGAGAGTTCAGCCCTTCCTGTTTCAAAGGGTAGCTGTGCTGGTCTGGATTTGAGTCCGGCAGCACCTTAGTGAAACCAGCAAGATTTTTGGAGTAGGAGCTTTCGGGATTCAGAGCTCCCCGAATCCTTTCTTTGCAACGCCCCCCCCCCGACCTTCCGACTGGGATATAAAGACTCGGGGGATCTCCATTCCAACTTGTATCTGACGAAGGGAGCTTGGACTTTGCCCAGGCCAATGAGAGCTTTCCTCCTGCCCCTGGGACTTCTGGGTTGTCTGGGAGGGGTGGGAATGGCCAAGGGGGTGTGGCATCCCAGACGGCCCAGAAGCAGGCTAGGGGCAGGGGTCATTTCCTAGAGAAAGAGGTGCAGGAGCTCATTAGCATAACTAATTAGCATAACTTGTCTGCATGTGCCACACCCCCTGACATCACCGGAAGTGTGTCAGAAGGCAACACCCACCTCTCAGGCTCCACTGGACTGTTTTGGATTGCTAGCTATTGGAGGGGGGGGGGGACGTGCAGATCTGCCCTCGCAGAGGAGGGAGAGCTTGTACCTGAAGGTGGGCTGGGGGGGGAGCTCTGCAACTTACCTGGCTGCTTCTTGCTCCTTGTGGCCTGACTGAGGGCTGCTGGGAGCAGGGGGCGGGGCTTGCTACATGTGCCCACCCCCTGGGCTCCTGACTGCCGGAGCTCCGCTCCCATGCGCTCCCGCAGGAAATGACCCCTGGCCAGGGGTATTGTAGCTGATCCGCTCAGAGCACTGATCAGTGGAGAGGAGGACGTTGGTATTCCAACCCCCTCCCCTCTCCTCGCTGATGCCTAGACATTTTCTGCAGGGACTGCTCTCCCCGCACCCGCACCTGCATTCCTCCGCCACTTTCCCTCGTTTCTGCAAATGTTTTTGCAGTCCCAGTAGCGAAAACACAGTTTTCCCCCTCTTGTGGCGCAGCATGGGAATTCCTGGAACCAGAGAAGTCCAGCGCTGCGGACCAAGAGGGGACAAGCTGCGTATTTGCTCCTGGGACTGCAAAAACATTTGTGGAAACGGGGGAAAGCGGCAGAGGAATACAGGTGCAGGCGCGGGGACAGCCGTCCCCGCAGAAAACGTCTTGGTGAGTTCTCTCGTGAAGGCGGGCCAAGCTGTAGACCAGGGCGGGAGGGGCCCCACGGCTCAAGAAGTTGAAAACAGCCCAGTTCTGTCAGCGAAGGATAAGCCCAGTTGGCAAGGCAAAAGCTAAAGGTGGGGATGACCCCAGGAACGGATCCTGAGTGTGAGCACATTTGAGCCAAAGGCTTCGTTGGAGCACCAAATGCAAATGCTGCAGAATTGCAAAGGGAGGAAATATAGATGTGGGGCATAGCCAAAGTTCCTCTCGGGAGCTGAGCCAGCCACAACACAGGGAGCATCCCATTACTTGGGAGGGAGCATCCCATTACTTGTTCTAAGCCACCCTGAGCCTCGCTTGTCCAGGAAGTGGTGGGGTATAAATTAGATAGATAGATGATAGATGGATGGATAGATGGATAGATGGATTGATGATGGATAGATGGATTGATGATGGATAGATAGATAGATGATGGATAGATAGATGATTGATTGATAGACGATTGATAGATGATGGATAGATAGATGATGGATAGATAGATAGATGATTGATAGATCTAGATAGATAGATAGATGATAGATAGATAGATAGATAAGATAGA